CATACTTTGGACATGTTGCCAGGAGGGACGGGTCCTTGGAGAGGGCCATCATGCTTGGGAGGGTTGAGGGACAATGCAGGAGGGGAAGACCCTCTATGAGATGGGTTGATTCGGTGACTGGGGTAATCGGGATGGGTGTGTCAGAGGCGGTGCGGTTGGTGCAGGATAGAGCAGGGTTTAGGGCTGTTGTGCTTAGGGTCACTATGAGTCAGAAACGACTCGACGGCACATAACAACAACACAACAACCTAAGCATAGGAGCCTTATTAGTTCCCTTAAGAGTTTAACTATCAATGAATGAATGGAATTCCAAAATCTCTGTAGATGTTCATTGAAATGAAAAATAAATAAATTAATTAAAAAAAGAAATTAACTATCAAAGGTTTAAAAATTATATGTTTAAAGGCATTAAAATAACAATAATTAAGAATCACTTCCTTCATTTTAAACTTTGTACCAGATCCTTATATAGTCTACATGAATAAACTCTCTAAATAAAGGGCTTTAATCAGTTTCTACTAGAGAGGAATTCAAGGCTCTGAGTAGCTTGCCCAAACTCAGTAATGGCCATTATTAAACCAAGGTTGAATCTCATTTAGACGCAAAATAAATGAGCACTAAATATTTCATTAAATATCTTCTTGGCCTGAATTTCACTCTTAAGAGTTCTTGATTGTTAGAATCTGCAAATCCAAGCAATTTTTTGTGGTTAGAAATTATGCCAACTATATAGCTAAACCAAAGTTATACAGACATCTTACAAATGAAAAACATTTTGTAAGTCTATGTAAAAGGCAACTGTCTTCTAAAAAGGAAGAACTAAGTTGTTCCTCACCTGGGATGAAGTACTTCCACAAGATGTAATTAGTGGAGAGACAGCCCCTTGTCCAGAGAGCTGAATCTGATATTCTCAGTCTGAATGTTATTACTGCTGAACTTTTCCTCTGACTACATGGCTGATTTCCCCAAACATTTCTACAGGAAAGGGAGTCAGACTCTTATATTCCAAGATGTATACCCTAAAGATCAGAGGCTGTAGGACATCTAGGCCCTCAGCTTTCAGTAGATACAGTGATAACATAGCCTTAACACTGAGGCGTTAATAGTTAGAAATATTCTGTATTTTCTCCTGGGAAGCCCAGAAAGTGTAGGCCCCTCAAAAAGCCCTAGCTATTTGTGACATCTCTACTGGATTGGAGTCATGAGTGGCTACAGAGCTGAGTCCCAGGTAATCAATAGGCACAACTGGGTCAGCCTGACCTGTGAGGTTTCATGTTCTCAGGCATTCTCTGGGATTAACATTATGTCTGTTCTCCCCACAGCCCAGTATTTTGCCAGCACCATGATTATCGTTGGTCTCTCTGTCGTTGTAACAGTAATAGTGCTACAGTACCACCACCATGACCCTGATGGAGGCAAGATGCCCAAATGGGTATGTCCCTCCCCTGCATATAGGCATTGTCTAAGCCTGGCTCCAAGGCTCTACACCCTTGACTATAGCCAGATCACTCAATAGGGCTGTGGCCAGATACTGTGGTATTATAATCATGATCTGCATTGTGGATTTTGAAAATTGTTATGTGACTATCATTCATTAACTATTTTATTAATACTCCAGAAACCAATTATCACTAGGAAATTATTTTACTTTTATTAAGTTCACTTATCTTTTTATAGAGTACATTTATTGTGAACATACACTTTAACATCCCATGGCACTGTGGGCATGCTTACCCACCTATATGATGTGGTCCTTCAAAGTCCACTGTCCTAAAATCTACACTTACCAAACAGCCTTCTCTAACAATAAAGAAATTTAGAAGCCAGCAAGCTGAGACCTAGGCTTTTCTCCCTTCCATGACAAAATGCACTCCAGGAAAGCTATCTACCTTACTCTAACACTTGTACTAAAGATAGTGTGGCCTAAGAGTGACTGAGGCCTGAAAAAAAAGCTCAACAATCAAAATTTTATCCATAAAATCACAATGAACTGTGGAGAGGAGACTAAGTATCTTCAAATGCAGCTATAAGATACATTTCGTTTACTTTTGAGTTCAGAAACTCTCGGGCCTTCTAAAAATGTTTACTGCGAAAAAATTTACAGTGAACAAAAATTTAAATCAAGAAATATTTTTTACTAAGATTGTTTTCACAATTTTGCTATCCCTTCCTCCTACAGAGTTTCCTCCAGCACACACAATGTCGTCTCATTCACTGGTAGGCCATCACCACAACAGTCAGATGCAGTAACTCCACATAAGTGTACAAGCCATGTCAGGTAGCATATGAGGTTGGTTTTGAAAAGGTTTATTCCTCATTCCCTTAAAAACGAGGGAATTTTTTTCACACAATCACCTACATTCTCACCTAACTTTGATTTGAAGACTTTATTCTCAGACCATAGTTTACTAAATGCTGTATTTGGTTGGCATGGATGACTGAACAATGAATTGGAGAGCAGATAGAGCCTTTCACACTTGTGAGATTATCATTCACCTTTTCTTGTTGCCTGAGGTTGCTCTAATAGAAATACCAGAAATAGGTGACCCAAAAACAACACCATCTATTTTCTAACAATTCTGGAGGATAGATGTTTAAATCATGGTTTTAGTCGAGATTTTCCTTTTGCTAGTCCCTTAGCTGTGAATGTTCTTCACATAGCAGTTGTCTTCTGATGTGTGTCTTTATTTCTGCCTAATTTCTTCATATAACTTAGAATGGTTTGGTTTAGGACACACCCTGCACTGATAGGGCCCAATGGGCATAGCAGAGAAAACTTTGTTCCTAAAGAGAATTGCATTCAGAGTATAGTGATTAGAATTACAGCAGATTTTTGGTGGAGACACGTAACTCAATCTGTAATAACCCTAGTGGGAGGTGAAAGTCCACCAATAGCTGTTGGGATCAGCTAATACTCACTCTGGGCGACCTCTAACTTCCTGTTGTCTCTGCAGACCAGAATTATCCTCTTGAACTGGTGTGCTTGGTTTCTGCGAATGAAAAGGCCAGGAGAAGACAAAGTGCGCCCTGCCTGCCAGCACAAGCAGCGCCGCTGCAGCTTGGCCAGCGTGGAGATGAATGCCATGGCTGGGCCACCCACCAGCAATGGGAACCTGCTTTATATTGGCTTCCGTGGCCTGGATACCATGCACTGTGCTCCTACACCCGACTCTGGGGTTGTGTGTGGACGCATGACCTGCTCTCCCATGCATGACGAGCACCTCCTGCATGGTGGACAGTCAGCAGAGGGGGATCCAGACCTAGCCAAAATTTTAGAGGAGATCCGCTACATTACCAACCGCTTCCGCAGTCAGGATGAGAGTGAGGTCATCTGCAGTGAATGGAAGTTTGCTGCCTGTGTGGTTGACCGTCTTTGCCTCATGGCCTTCTCTGTCTTCACGATCATCTGCACCATTGGCATCCTGATGTCTGCCCCCAACTTTGTGGAAGCTGTATCCAAAGATTTTGCTTAGCTTGTTCTATACAATTATAGGGGATTTATTTGGCTTCCTGAGAATCTGGAGTGCAAGTAATTCAGCAACATTAAAGTCACACTCGACCACTTGGATGAACCTTTATTATTGCTTACTAATAACGTTGACTATTGTTTTGTTGTTGCCTTCAATAATAGGATATCAGACAGTTTTTTTTAGTCCTCTCAGATGGGCTAAATTATATCCTTAAAGCATCCTTGAACCACTGGTATATTATTTTATCCTTTCCTCAACTTCTCAAGAACCTTTCAGAAGGTCCCGGTAGCTCATGCCTGCAAAGGAAGACTTGTCCATTGGTTCTGCATGCTTGCATGTCACATGTCACTAAGACCAACACAAAAATTTAATATATATAGCTTTTGCCTCTGTATACAGACCTCCACTGAAAATATTAATAAACAACCAAACTCACTAAATTCATTCCTAATTGATTGGTTAAAAAAACCAAAGAGAGCAACTGTAAGAAATCTAAAGAATACATCCTCTATTTTTTCTGAAATTTGACTCTTTCCCTTTTACCAAACATAGTTTGTGGGAAAGATGTTGCACTCTTTCATCATTAGAAACAGACAAAACCTACATAGTTTAATAAATAGTGTTTTTATCAGCCTGACTAACTTCTGCAAAACCACTCTTTTACAAGGAGGATACATGCTTGTGCTGATCACTGAGTTAAATATCTCTATGGATCCCAAATGAGGCCTATGTTTTTGTGCTGTATTAGGAAACAGAAACATTGACTGAGTTTGTTCTGCTCAGCAAACCACAAAAAAAAAGTGTGTTCTACTAGAATTACCATTTCTAATAGTAGCTAAAGCAAAATTAATCACTTGTATTTTTTAGTAAAATACTAGATGATTCAAATGTATTGGAGCTGATATATTTTCAAAATTTAGGCTAGAAGCCATATGTGAAGAAATCCTAAAGGAGATTGAGCTTATTTACAAAGTTGATAAATTCAAGGTATTGCAAACAGTCTTTCGTTTCTGGGTCAGACAAGTAAATAAATAGAATGTTTCATTTATTACTGTTTATTCTTGGAAAGGTAGAGGGTCAGTAAAAGAGAGGAAGACTCTCAATTAGATGGATTGAGATAGTGATGGTAGCAATGGGCTCAAGTAAGTCAGAGAAGATGAAGATAGCACAGAGCAGGACAGGTTTCAGATCTGTTGTTCATAAGATCACTATGAGTCATAATTGACTCAGTGACATGTTAAAACAACAATATTTTTGTTTAACCATGTTAACCATTTAGGAGATTTGTAGGTTATATTAAAAATACAAAAAGCAGACATCAAGAATTCTTATTTTGACCATCAGGTCACTAATCTGTATTTTTTAAAAAAAAATATAATGAACAAATATGCACATTGTTTAAAAGGTGTAAATGAAAAAACAAAACAAAACAAACCAGCCTCCCATGATTCCTGTGTTTTCCCTCCACAGGTAGCAATAGTGATATATTTGTGGGCATATTTCTAGAACTGGAAAGAGGGAGGCAGAAAAAAGGAGGAAGAGGGGCATCTTTGACTTGTACTCAAGCATTGCATAGCACTCTGTACCTTGCTTTTCTCATTTAGTTCTAAATCTTAGAAGTATTTACATGGAATCATATAAAAGTCTACCTCATTCTTCTTAGTACCTGCTTAGAATTCCATTAATTCAATGGACTATAATTCATTAGATTGATCTTTTACTGGTGAAAATAGAGAGAATTTTCAGGTTTTGATTTTTATATATTAATCTATAATTAGCTTATTTGTATATATATCTTGGCATGTTCTTGTGATCATATTTTGTAATAAAGTCTCACTTAGAAATGGAAATGCTGCATTAAAAGCTATATGCTTTTCAAATTGTAATAAGTGTTGTGAGATGATCCTTCAAAGATTGAACAAGAGATACACCCAAAGAAAAAATCATGAATGGGCCTATTTCTTGACTCTCTCAGTATTAATCAAATTTTCTTTTCTCCTTCATTGGAGTGGTAAAATACAACATTTTATGATTATTCTGATTTTAGTTCTTTAATAATAAGTGAAATTAAACCTTTTAAATGCTAAGATAATATTTATTTTTAAATTTGTCTTTTACGTATTTTCACTTATTTGTTGTTGTTATTATGTGCCATTGAGTCGTCTGAAACTCATAGCAACTCTATATTTACAACAGCCCTAAACTCTGCCCCATCCTAGGCCAATCTCACCATCTCCGACACACCTACCCTCATTACCTGTGTCACTGAATCAATCCATCTCATCGAGGGTCTTCCTCTCCTGCGCTGTCCCTCCAACCTTCCAAGCATGACATCCCTCTCCAAGGACTGGTCCCTCCTTGCAACATGTCCAAAG